ATTCAATCAAATCCCCATGCAATCTGTATGTACATTGTCTTTTAATTTCTTAGAAAACAGATGACTGGATTTTATAGTGCTTCTTGTTCTTCAAGGGTGATTGGGCAGTTAATTTAATTCCAAAATTTTCTTTAGATCCTTAATTTTAATGTAAACATTTCATTTTTAATGTAACTGAATTCTGCTTCACTACTTCATTCTGTTGGCATTGAAATTTCATTTAAAATCCTATGCCTACAGTACTATAATTCAAGTTTTAAATGTGAATATATATGTGTTTTTCTGGAAGAAGCTATAAAACTGTCTTATTAAAAGCATCAATATAAAATCAAGATGCGTAAGCCTCAGAGCATAAGTCTTTCTGAAAAGGGACTTAGTGTAAAATTTTTCAAAAGCGCCTATGTGATTCTGGATCATCTTTGCATTCTGAGCTTGTTTTGCAATTTTTTTAATTTATAGATTTCATAGATTATAAGGCCAGAAGGGACCACTGTGATCAACAAGTCCAGGGGTTCTTCATCTTCATTTCACCACACTCTCCTTCTGACAACAAAAATTACTATACAACCCCAGGAAGACAGACTGAAGTCTGAGTCTGCCTGATTCCCACTGCCCCAGATGGGAAGCCAAAGCCCAATGCTGAACCCACACACCTGGTCTTATAACCTCTGCTAGATTGAAGTAACTTATTTTATCAAATCTCTGTTCTCCATGTAGGCATTTATGCAAAGATGCTGAAAGGTATTTAAGCGCCTAACTCATTGAAATCAGTGGAAACTTAGTGTGCGTCTACACTGCACCACAACTCGAAATAAGATACGCAATCTGAGCTACACAAATTGTGTATTGTATTTCGATGCTATTTCAAAGTAGCTTATTTCATCATTTGGTGCTGTCTGCACAGCACCAAATTTCGAAATAAAGGGCTATTCCGAAACATCCCTTACTCGTAGAATGAGGTTTACAAGGATGTTGGAATAGCAAGCCTAAAATAATGGGCTTGCTGTGAAGATGCAGGATAGCTATTTTGGGATACTCTGGTATCCCAAAATAGCATTGCAGTTTAGAAACAGCCTTAGGCACTGTAGCATTTTGTACTTGCTAGCGTTTCCTGTCTCCTCAGCAACACAGGCTACCGCGAGCATATCATATCTATCCTTAAGGGTGATTGGGCAGTTAATTTAATTCCAAAATTTTCTTTAGATCCTTAATTTTAATGTAAACATTTCATTTTTAATGTAACTGAATTCTGCTTCACTACTTCATTCTGTTGGCATTGAAATTTCATTTAAAATCCTATGCCTACAGTACTATAATTCAAGTTTTAAATGTGAATATATATGTGTTTTTCTGGAAGAAGCTATAAAACTGTCTTATTAAAAGCATCAATATAAAATCAAGATGCGTAAGCCTCAGAGCATAAGTCTTTCTGAAAAGGGACTTAGTGTAAAATTTTTCAAAAGCGCCTATGTGATTCTGGATCATCTCTGCATTCTGAGCTTGTTTTGCAATTTTTTTAATTTATAGATTTCATAGATTATAAGGCCAGAAGGGACCACTGTGATCAACAAGTCCAGGGGTTCTTCATCTTCATTTCACCACACTCTCCTTCTGACAACAAAAATTACTATACAACCCCAGGAAGACAGACTGAAGTCTGAGTCTGCCTGATTCCCACTGCCCCAGATGGGAAGCCAAAGCCCAATGCTGAACCCACACACCTGGTCTTATAACCTCTGCTAGATTGAAGTAACTTATTTTATCAAATCTCTGTTCTCCATGTAGGCATTTATGCAAAGATGCTGAAAGGTATTTAAGCGCCTAACTCATTGAAATCAGTGGAAACTTAGTGTGCGTCTACACTGCACCACAACTCGAAATAAGATACGCAATCTGAGCTACACAAATTGTGTATTGTATTTCGATGCTATTTCAAAGTAGCTTATTTCATCATTTGGTGCTGTCTGCACAGCACCAAATTTCGAAATAAAGGGCTATTCCGAAACATCCCTTACTCGTAGAATGAGGTTTACAAGGATGTTGGAATAGCAAGCCTAAAATAATGGGCTTGCTGTGAAGATGCAGGATAGCTATTTTGGGATACTCTGGTATCCCAAAATAGCATTGCAGTTTAGAAACAGCCTTAGGCACTGTAGCATTTTGTACTTGCTAGCGTTTCCTGTCTCCTCAGCAACACAGGCTACCGCGAGCATATCATATCTATCCTTAAGTTCAAGGTCTCAGTCCTTATCTTCAAAGTCTTCCGTGGGATGGGCTCAAAGACCATTTAAGGCTCCAGGACAAAAAACAAGTGTCAACAATTCACTCCTCTGGCACAATGCAACTTTCAACAATAAAAGAGTAAAGATTGTGCAGGAGACAGAACCTTCTCTAGGGATAAGCCGAGTCTGGACTGCATTTCCCCAGGAACTACCTATATCACAAACCATCACTGTCTACTCCAAGTGCAAGGTATATTTTTTTGATCTTCTCAAAATTCTGAACACATAGCAAAAGGTGTATATATAACACACACACACACACACACACACACACACACAACCAAAACAAGACAACTCCATACTCTTTTTCCTCTGCAAGGAGGACGAGAGAACAAACAATACATGACAGATGTGTAGTCATGTTGCTTAATTCACTATTGGAAGGTGCTCTGCTGTCATGGTGATGTGTGTCATTGGAAAAACATATAGGCGGTGTCTAGACTGGCCAGTTTTTCCAGAAAATCAGATGCTTTTCCAGAAAACTTGCCAGCTGTCTACACTGGCCGCTTGAATTTCTGCAAAAGCACTGACTTCCTACTGTAAGAAATCAGTGCTTCTTTCTTGCGGAAATACTATTCTGCTCCCATTCAGGCAAAAGTCCCTTTTGTGCAAAGCTTTTGCGCAAAAGGGCCAGTGTAGACAGCTCAGATTTGCTTTCCGCAAAAAAGCCCCGATCGCAAAAATGGTGATCGAGGCTTTTTTGTGGAAAAGCACATCTAGATTGGCACGGATGCTTTTCCGCAAAAAGTGCTTCCGGAAAATCATGCCAATCTAGACGCAGCCACTTAGAATAGAATATGAGCCTAAATAAATTAAGGATCTGAATCTTGTAGACTGGCCAATTCAACACCTAATGTTCTCTTTGGTAAGCTAAACAAATTCAGTTCCTTGACCCAGTAGAAGGCATATTTTCTAACACTTAAATAATTTTCAATGTCTTTGAGAACTCTCTCCAATTTATCAACATCCTTCTTGAAATGTTGACAGCAGAACTGGTCACAGCATTCCAGTAGTGGTCATACTACTTAATGTTAGGCATTTTGATACTAAATGAGCAGTAATCACATTTAATAGCTATTTATGAAAAGCCAGAACTAGTATAACTGGAGCTTAATAAGGCAAGCAGCACCTCTGGGTTACATTAAATGAAAGGTCTGAAGTTCTACTATAAGACAGAAAGAACAGGAAGAAATTGAACAGGATAGTAATAAGTAATATCAGTGTCTTTTGGCAGTAGTGGAACTAAATCTATGTGGGCATCTTTCAACATGTTTGTATTGTAAGCTCTAGAGCAGTGGTCACCAACCAGTAGATCGGGATCTACTGTTAGATCTTGGAGCTTCTGACAGGTGATCCTGACTGATTTGGCCAAGAGGCTATCGAGTGCCGGCACTTCAGCTGCTCCTCCCCCTGCTGCTGCACATCTTCTACCCTTTTGCCTTGGAGCTGCCTCACCCCACCCCTGGGAGCCTCTTGCTTTCTGTGCAGGGCAGCGCGAAGACGGACACTAATGTCAAGGTGCCCCCTCTCCCGCTCTATATCCTATCTCCACAGAGCAGAGTGGGAGGCGGGAGCACAACAGGACTTGTGATGGAGTTTGTTGGCTGCCTTTGGGAGTGGTGCAGGGCCAGGGCAGGGGTGAGCCTGCCTTAGCCCCACTGCATCACCACCTAGGAGCCACTTGAGGTAAGCAGTGCCTAGTTGGAGCCCACATGCTGAAACCCTACCCCAGTCATGAATCCCCTCCTGTACCCCAAATCCCTGCCCTAGCCCCGAGCACCTTGCACCCAAACACCCTCCCAAGAGCCTGCAGCTAGAACCCCCTCCAACACCCCAACTGCCTGCCCTAAGCTCAGCTCCGAGCCCCTCACACACTCCAAATCCCTTAATCCAAGACCTGAGCCTGCACCCCAACCTGCTGCCCCTGCCTGGTGAAAGTGAGAGACGATAGGTGAGGAAGGGAGGATGGACTGGGCAGGGGAAGGGCCTTGGAGAAGGGGCACAAAGGATGCAGGGCCAGGGTATTTAGATTTGAGGTAGATCTTGGATTGCACTTAAATTGAAAAAGTGATCTCATACTTAAAAAGGTTGGAGACCACTTCTCTAGAGAAACCTCTTGATTTGGATCTATGGACTGAAATTAAAAAGTTAGCTAACAGTAAGGTAACTGTCATTGGAAATTAACTCTCCGGGAATCAGCAGGTATGGATTCTATCATCAAACACTTGGGGGACTTTCAAAGATGTGACTGTCTCTCAAGCAGTTAAGATGCTAAACAAAGAGTAGGGATATTAGACTCAGTTCCAACCAATTATGACTAAAGATCTTGAGATTGGAAATACACTTGGCAAGAATGAATTCATAATATAATGAAGTGGTTCTCTGACTGCCAGCCAGAATCAGCCATATAAAAGAACTGAACATATTTTGGGAGAGGGAGTTTCAAAGAACATGGAACACATTTAAGGGGATTGAGCACAATAAGCATATTAAAAGCTATCTTCTGCTTTCTTAATGCAAGTTAGGCACCCTGGCTTAGCACAGATAAGGGTACTAAGGGAGAAATTTTTTTTTTGGAAGAGTTGGGAAAATGAAGATTAGGTTCCGCGAGTAGCATAGGACATATGCAAATTACCGAAGCAAAAATGATAAAAAATGGTACCTTAAAGCATTTTGAATTACATTTCAAGAATTATATTAAAATGGAATGAGAGGGAAAAAGAGGGAAAAGAAAAGGGGAAAAGATGGGGATATTTGACAGACGAGAGATCCATAAAGAATCGGCAATTCTCATGGTGCAAGATCTTGAAATTGGTATTGCTTGGGACAGCCTCCCTTTGGAATATTGGTACGGTTTTAGACAGAGCTCACAAGGAAACCTAAAAAGTTGAAGTGGCAGATTGACACACTGATTAAGACTATATTAACTTGCACTGAGAAACTTTAGACATGTGTGGTGATTTTCAAAATGTATTTTAGTTTCGATGCAAAGCCAATATGGAAATGTCCTGCCTTTGTTATGCAAGGCCTTACAATTTCTGGTTTGGAGTAAGTCAGATTTACCAGCTAAGTGTAAAACAGTTCCTTTGACCATTACATTTTCATTTTACATGGAGATTGCTAGTAGGTAGTATAATGAGTTACCATACTCCACCCCTGGATAGATACCTTTGTATTCCCAAGTCATGTTTGTAACAGATGTTTCTGCATATGATTGAGAGACTGACTTATTTTACAGAGATGAGGAGGTCTAATTTTTTATTTCCTGATCCTGGAAACTGTCAGAAACAGATCAGACAGAATGGGTTACAAATTCAAGATTTCTACACTGGAATCAGCAAGGTTAAATTAATAAATAAAACCAAATTATGCTAAAACAAACCACTGTATTTTCCTGCGTGCAGTAAAGCTACTGACAAGTAGCATCCATATCACATATATGTAGACATTTGTAAGCCATTTAACAAAAGTACTATATCAGTGCTTGATTTTTCTACATTCCAGTCTGAAATGCAGGTGTGTATGTTCACTATAAAAGCGGAACATAGAGAATACAGAAAGGGTAGCAATGGATTACAATAAAGAGAAGTCACTAGTAGGGATGTAATAATGTAGTTGATTAAATGATTAACCGAGAAGCAAAACTTATCTACTACATGCACTCCCCACTAGTACATTTTTTAGAGGGCTGGCCAGCAGCCTGGCTCACTCCCTGCTCATGATGGGTCCAGTGAGTTATACCGCTGCAGCTCTGTAGTAAAAGTCTTTTAGGAGCTGATGGTCTGCCTGCCCACCCGGCTCCTAAAATACTTTTACTCTAGAGCTGCAGGGGTGGGGGTAGCTCCCAGGATCCAACACAAGCTGAGACAGAGTTCTTGCAATGCTAATCCTTATCAATTAATCATGTAGTGGACAAAATTTTTGTTGACTACACGAGTAACGAATTAGACGCTTAAATCCCTAGTCACTAGCATATTCTCTCAATAGTTAAGTACTGGGGCCATCCCCTCGATATTTTAGCACCATCCCCTAAATATTAATCTTTAAAAACAAAGTTGTAAATTGGTAAGACAAACTTATATCAGGGGAATGGGTTATAAAATAGTTGATAGATTTTAATACAAAAGATAAAGAATTCTGAATCTAGTTCTTTAGCCAGAAGTTATATTTTAAAGTACTGACAACAAAAGAACTTAACATTCATGTTAGCTATAATGAAAATGGGAATTTATTGTTTAACTGCAAGAAAGGCCAAAAAGGTTCTCAAGCTGCATCAAAAGGGTATACAAACAAAAACAAAGGAAATCCTCTGTTAGGATGTACAAATCCTGGAGTAAATCCAGAAAGGAGCAGCAATATGTTTTCAAAGTTATGGAGGGGACTTCACTATGAAGATATGTTTAATTTCTTCAACTGATACAGTTTGTAATCTCCTCAGCCTATCAACTAGATAGATGAGGTAGCTATGAGTGGGTGGACTGAAAAGGGAATGAAACTGTAATGCAATGTATACATACAATATCTAAACAGGGATAATAAAATTTGGGAATAAGAATCTCATTCAATTAAAGAGCAACAGGAACACACAAGGACCTGCCTGCAAAGTTAAAAACAAAGAGTGAAGATTAGGTGTAACACTGATTGTTTTTCCTCTCAGAAGAGTCATCAGAGTTTGGAATTCTTTGCTTTCAGAGTCAGGAGCAATATCCCATTTATTAGAAATCAAGGAAAAGAGGAATAATTACTTTGAGAATAAAATCATTTGGATGACTATATGGCAATTCTTGCTTACATATACAGGGTTAAACTTACTATTAAGTTTGAGGTATGGAAGGTCATGCCACTAACAGCAAGATTTTATTTTATTTTCCTCCATCCTCCTCTGGAAAGATTGAGTAGGGTACAGTTACCATGAAGTGGGTATGTCCTATCTGATTAATTTCCTCTGCCTGCAGCAAGTCAAGTATCACGATCAATCGTCCATGCGTCTGTATTCAATAAACATTGCACTTATCAGAATTTGACTTTTTTAAATTTAGTTTTCTAGCATCTCAGTTCTATCACTATGTACAGAATTAGCCATGCTCTTTGTTCAGCCAAGAAACCACAGCAATTATCATTCGCAATTCATATTATAGTAAAGAAATGACAAAGCGTTTTTTCCCTTCTCTGTAAAAGAATTTCTAAAGACTTCCATACACATTATTTCACTTGATTAGAATTCAGGCATTACTAGTCCTGCAACCAAAGTAACAATAATGCTATCATGACAATATACATTAAAAGCAAATATCACTAAATATTAAATTAAATAACCAGACAAATGTCATTTTTGATACATAAGAGTGAAGGAGGGTCCTGATATTTTATTTAATATATTATATTACATCATATCTGGTTATCCAGACAACAAAGGATTTCAAGGAAAACATTTTGTAGTTTCTAGATCAGGCAAAATAAATTAAATTTACAAAAATCTGTTTCACAGTGGCATTACTGTCTGATGTCTAACACACTGTTCTCAGGAATGTCTCTCAAAACACGTCACAAGTTAGTTCTAACATGTAAAGTTTCATTCTTTCCCAACCCTCCTGACCTAGTGATTCACATCCGCTGTAGAACTCTAAATGAAAAAAAAAAAAAAAGCCTCACAGCATCCAATTTCCTTCGGTATTACTATTCCTACCTCAAATTGGGGCCTAGTGTTATCTATTTCACATTCACTAGAGAGTTCTTCTGACTTAAAAATGTAAACAACTGTCTATGGGCTCTCCCTTTGCAATCTGCAAAGCTTGAAGTATGACCAGAAGAGGTATACTGAAGTCAACATGGTGGCATCAGCACTGGTTACTCGTTTGTTTATCCTAAGATGTCCTTGTGGTCTTATAAATTCATCATATTTGGAGGCCTGTAATTACATTTATATATTTCCTGAACATCATCCAGAGTAGCTCTAGAAAATAATATGTACTAATCTGAATCACAAGTTACACTAGTCATATGAAACTGTTGGGAAAGTATAATATTTAAAAAATAATCTGTCTGAGTAAGGGCCTACTGGCAGAAATATCATAAAATGGTACTGGATTGTAATTAAGCACCTTCTCAATTTCTAATTCACAGGTGTTAAATCATCTAGCATTAGGAAATACTACTATTGTAAACTAGAGAACAGCTATCTATTCTGGTTCATATGGGAACCCAGACAACTGAATTAATCTAAAATGACGGTGCAAGTGTATGCTTATTATAATGCACTCCCACCATTCTGCCTCACTTTAGTTAATGACAACACACTTCAGGTTTCCTACATCACCAGTAGCATGATGTCTTGTGAATGTGCTGGTTTGTAAAGTGGAAAGCTGATAAGATTTAAGGCAAAAGATTTACTTAAGTGAGCAGTTCACAATTGATTTAGCTAATTATTTACTGTGTAACTGAATAGGCAAATAACTGCCATGGCGTATAAATTACAAGTATTTACACCTTAGCATTCAAGAGTTTTTATAGCCTTCATCCAATCTGCATGTTTAAATTTCAATTTTAAAAAATTTGGTACTTTGTACACACGCAACAACAACATTTCTTTAAAAAAAAATAAAACATCCAGACTAGTGGATTCATCTTGGTATAATCATCCTTTCTATGGCACAGATAATGTGATCCCAATTTTTACAAAATATTGCAAGTAGAGTCACCGCAAAAAAAGTGCAGATGATATGGAAACGGCTCCTCATCATAGGAGCTATAAACTTTGCAATGGTAGAGACGCACACTAAGATGACAGTCATGAAAGCCAAGATTACATTTATACATTTCCCTAGGAGTACTTTGGCATTAACCGTTTCTGATTGCAATGCTTGCTGTTCTTGCTGATGGAACTCTAGCTTAAAAACCCGAGTCTGGCAAGATTCCAAGGCTTCCTAGAGGCAAAAAAGGGAAATAAGAGTCAGCTACATTTCTACACAAAAACAAACAGTTTCCCATTCAGTTGCTGAGTATAATTTCTAAACTACTTAAAAAAGTATGTTGTGCACCAATGGCTAAAAAAAATTATTAAAAGTATTATCAAGCTTGACAATGCTATCATACGTGTATCATTGACATATTTTCCCGCTTGAGAAAAATAACATTCATGTTGTCTCCTGTTTTCTGAATGTACTGATGGGAGTAAAAGAACCGGGTAAAATGTTACTATAGTAACTTCACTGTGTCAAACCAGCACAAAAAAAGTTAGTTTCTTTGCATGCACCACTGAAAATGTTAGGGCACTGCTGACGTCCTGTGACACCAATCAAATCAATTGTGCAATATGGACCCATTAGGTTTACACTCCCATTCTGGTCTAAATTCAGTTTCATTCTCTTGAATGCCACCCATTGTATGTTGCAAGCACTGCTCTTAGAAGAGACTGTTCTGTCCCTCTATCACTGAGGGGCAATTAGTCCATGTTGCAAATGCATTGTGAGAATGCATGTCTCTGGAAAATGTAAAAGTCAAATCTGAACAATTTCCAAGTTAGCATTGCTTACAGCTATATCATTTAAATATCAAGATGTCAGTCCTCTATATTTTCTTGTAAGAAGTAAAATGCAGAAGTGTTAAGCTGTCTGAACATTACAGTAATTATAATTCACTTTCCAACTTCTTCTTTTGTACAATAAATCACAATTTCCAGTCTTCTGGGAAAAATGGATACCTAACCCCAGGCTTATCATTAATCTGCATTCAAGACATAGCTACCTACACTTTTCAATTACCATTTTATTCTTTCTGTAGATGGAACTCTAGTTTATATTTTGAAATTAAGTTTCCCATCTTTTATTGACTTGGTCTTTTTTCATGTTTCTTTTGCTCTAGACCTGCATGTATAAATCTAGCTTTTTGTTAAAAGGTCAACTAAAAATGCTATTTAAATAAAAACAATCCCCCAATTATTAGCCCATCATATGTGCAGATTTAAGTGACAACAAATGCATAATTTCCAAAACAAATCCGTTTAAAATCTTCTATTTCTTTAACGTGTTTAGTTGACTATGGTAAAGTTTGTTATCACTAAACACAAAGTGGTACAAGGAACACAGTTTCTTTTCACTGCTTCAGGAGTGAGTTAAGTATACAACTCTTGAAGAAAAAGCAGAGGGACCAAAAGGTTTGGATACTTTAAGATGAACTGAGAAGTTTTTAACCTATGCTCTGGTGTCCCTGGTCTGCTGGGCTTTGCTCCCGGGCAAACGAGCAAAGCCGCCCAGGCGGCGGCTTTGCTCGGGTGTCCCTGGTCTGCTGGGGGGGGTCCAGCGGCTTTGCTGGATGCCCCCAGCAGACCAGGGGGACAGGAGCAAAGCCGTGGAGCATGCCCGCAGCGGGACAGCCCAGGCGCGCTTGGGCTGTCCCGCTGCGGGCGTGCTCCGCGGCTTTGCTCCTGTCCCCCTGGTCTGCTGGGGGCATCCAGCAAAGCCGCTGGACCCCCCCCCAGCAGACCAGGGACACCCGAGCAAAGCCGCCGCCTGGGCGGCTTTGCTCGTTTGCCCGGGAGCAAAGCCCAGCAGACCAGGGACACCAGAGCATAGGTTAAAAACTTCTCAGTTCATCTTAAAGTATCCAAACCTTTTGGTCCCTCTGCTTTTTCTTCAAGAGTTGTATACTTAACTCACTCCTGAAGCAGTGAAAAGAAACTGTGTTCCTTGTACCACTTTGTGTTTAGTGATAACAAACTTTACCATAGTCAACTAAACACGTTAAAGAAATAGAAGATTTTAAACGGATTTGTTTTGGAAATTATGCATTTGTTGTCACTTAAATCTGCACATATGATGGGCTAATAATTGGGGGATTGTTTTTATTTAAATAGCATTTTTAGTTGACCTTTTAACAAAAAGCTAGATTTATACATGCAGGTCTAGAGCAAAAGAAACATGAAAAAAGACCAAGTCAATAAAAGATGGGAAACTTAATTTCAAAATATAAACTAGAGTTCCATCTACAGAAAGAATAAAATGGTAATTGAAAAGTGTAGGTAGCTATGTCTTGAATGCAGATTAATGATAAGCCTGGGGTTAGGTATCCATTTTTCCCAGAAGACTGGAAATTGTGATTTATTGTACAAAAGAAGAAGTTGGAAAGTGAATTATAATTACTGTAATGTTCAGACAGCTTAACACTTCTGCATTTTACCCCCAAGTCAGCTGCTGCTGAAACTGACCAGCGCTGACTACAGGAAGCCCGAGGCAGAGTTGCTCTGCCCCAGGCTTCCTGGAATCAGCCGCTGATCAGTTTCAGCAGCAGCTGACTTGTGGACGCCTGGGTTTCTTAAGTTGAATCTGTATGTAAGTCAGAACTGGCATCCAGATTCAGCTGCGGTTGAAACTGATCAGTTTCAGCAGCGGCTGACACCAGTTCCGACTTACATACAGATTCAACTTACAGTCCCTATCTTGTACGTAACCCGGGGACTGCCTGTATTAAGATTCCTTATTCCTCTAGTGATGATAGAGCAGTAGGTGTTAGACACCATTCAGAATCCACATGATTTTTTTTCAATCACATTATAAAACACTAGTAAGTAAAATCCTGGTCCTACTGACTTCAATGGGAATTCAGCTATTAACTTCAATGGGTCAAGGTTTCACTCTAGTTGGATCAATATGTGGGCCTAAATTCTTCATAATCCTTAAATATAAAATAGGGATGCACATAATGGTTAAAAAAGTAACCCTGCAATCAATTAAATTATCAGTTACACAGTTAAAGGTTGACCTGGGAAACTAGGGATGCAGAGGGGTACTATAGCACCCCCATGTTTTATGCGGGACCCACTGCTAACCTCCAGACCCACAGTTCCTGGCTGCCTGCTGGGTCCCTCCCAGCTACCTGCCAGTCTCTCCAGCCCCAGGATCCCTCCTGGCTACTGACACCAGGGCAGCTGTAGAGTCCTGGGCTCCAGTCAGCAGCAGGCGTTTAATAGTTAACCAAAACCGATAAGGCCGATGCTTATCAGTTGGACAGTTAACTATTTACATCCCTAATGCAAATGTTACTCTAAATTTTACAAAATTTCTGGGCTGCGTAACAAGCTGATTATAAAAATACCTGAACATCTCGTGACCGTTCACAGGCCTGATATGCCACTCTCTCCTCTATGCTGGCTAGCTCTTGCTTCAAGTTTGCAGTCTCGTGCTGATGAAGATCTGTAAGATCATTTAGCTGGTCTTCCAATCGTTCAGACCTTTTTCAGGAAAAAAGGAAGTCTGAGTTTAGCTCCTATACAAATGATGTTATGCCATGTTAGAATGCTTCTGTACTTCAAAGTAATCTTTCCTTGTACCTCATGTCACCAACATTTCGGTTTCTAACAGAGTATGGTGTGGGGGGTAGGGGGGGGGAGGAGGAGGAGAGTGGAGTTCCCCAAGGACTTATTCAGCAGGTTGAAAGCTCTTTGAGAAATGTTCCTGATTGCTAGAATATCAGAACTATGGTTTGAAAGACTTAAGACATTTTAATACTGCAATACAAAAACAACTCCGTGAACAAGTGTATCCAATTTATGCTCTTTTTCCTTTCACGCCACAATTCAAATCTTGTATGGCGATTTCTACATATTTTCCCGATCATATAAACGAAACTGAAATAAATAGCTTTCTCTACACTTGGAGAACTGCAAAAGGAGATTTTAGTACGTATTGTGTGTGTCAGAATATTTTGTCTTAACACAGTAGGAAACTATATTGATCTCATTAACCAATACACTCATTGTTACAACTAAGATGACAAAAATTAAGGTGTCTTATGTTCCTTCTCTCCCCCCAAAAAAGAGTCACTAGTCACCTTCAAAAATTTTGGCTTTTGTCTGCTTTTAGTCTCTGGGATAAGGTATTGACACACTGCAGAACACAAATCACTCTCCACAGTGGATGATAAAGGGATTAATTACAAAGCAGCTGATGAGCCCACAAAGAAGCTATATTAAAGTATTTAACACCAAATCTCATTATAATTTGTTACACTGTGTCTTCAAACTTCACGGTCTCATACCAATGTGCCTGAAAACATTCACCATGCCAAACTGCAGGCTATGGCTCATTAAGAAGGAAATGCTGTCAACTGCAAAGCTCTGTTACATCAGAGGCCACTTATCAGGTTCCAAGTTACATTAAATCAGAAGCAGTCCATTGATGTGAGAGCACTGGTACCAACTGTCTGTAATATTCCCAATGTAATGACAGTGAAGTGTCAGATAACGAAGCTTTCTATGAAAGCCTTAGGCAACTGCACACAAGGGTCAGCTATTGGACTGCTAAGTATCATTGTTACAAATGTAATTTAGGTTAACAGAAGAAATCAAGAATTTTGGTAGCTGACAGTCATGACTGAACACAAGTTGACCTTTTAAAAATGCATATACCACATACTTTTTTATCTGGCTTTTGCACAGCTATAGGAACTTTTAAAAAGAACAGAAAAAGGAAATACCTGAATCTTTCCTCCTGCAATGTTTGAGAAATAAAACCATAGTCTCTTTTAAACTGTGCTTTTAGATTCTCTATGTCATCAGCTAATTGGGACTGTGTCTCCTTTATTTCTCTCAGTTCCTCCAAAATCATAGAAAGTTTTGCTTGGCTGTCCAGAGCATCTGTCCCACCAGGCCCAAATGAATGGTTCCCATTACTATCTGCAGAGCCAGATGTCCCACTTGAGCACTCATCATCACTAGCATATTTTGGTTTAGTCACAATAGTAGCACTGCCACCATAGGCCCGTGAACTAGTTTCAGGCCGAAATTCATCCAGGGTATTTTTCAGGTGAGAAATGTTGTCAGCACTACCAAATTTATTTCGAATCAAGTTTGCAAACTCTCTCGACTTGCTGAAAACAAACACTGGTGGTGTCAAGGAGACACCTGGCACACCCGATTTGCTGCTCTCAGTGCCTTGGCCAGTGGTACGAGATTTGCCATGGGCATCTTTTAAAGAGGGCTGGATATCCTTCAAGTTATCTTTTGATGTATCTTTGGAACTTCTGGAGGATCCATTTTGTTCAATGTCTTTGAGCTTTCGGTGATACTGTTCCAATTTCTTCTGCAGCTGGGCAATAGAGTGGGCAGACTTCTGGTTCTTCTTCTCAAAGACTTGTTTAATACGGCCAGCTTGCTGCTTGTCTGCACTGTTCACCAGTTTTAAATATTCAGCTACATTTCCATCACGGGCCGTTTGTTCAATTTTTATTTGTTCTGTAACTTTCAAAATTTTTTGTTTCAGGCCATCAGCGCTAAGTTTGACTTTGTGAAATTCTAAGATCCCATCAGGTACATCAAAGTTGAGGTTGGTGTCTGACCCCCCACGGCGAATGTTAAGTGGCAAGCTCAGAGTATTCATGTCATGTCTTTCCACCTGAAAAGAGATTAAAATTCAAATTGAAAACTGCTCGCTCTGTTTCATATTTAAACTCCATAAAACTATACCAAATAGTGGTCAGAAAGTAACTTATAAGTACAATATGTATTGAACATATTTAAAAGTATTTCTCAAATTATGTTAAAAAACATAGAAAGTGAAAACATGCTACTTATTTAGCCATGTACAATATGAATATGAAAATACATAACCGGGTTGACAAATGACAACCAAGGTGCAAACCTTTTGCTTTAAAAAAAAAAAAAAAAAAAAAAGTTAAAAACAATACCTATAATATTCTAGTTTTGATTCTTTGTAAATCCAGTGGGCTTGGGGGCAGGGTTGGATTTTGTTTTACAAAAATTTATCAGGTTCAGGAAACATTCTGTACACATTTTAGATTATCAAAAGATTTATATAATTCATGAATGGTAAACTTCCAATTTTAGCTGGACGGACACTTATAAGTGGTCAAGTTCTCTCTTTCCATATGTCTCACTGTACTATCCAAAATGCTTTCTTGTTCTAAAGTCAAGTTATGTACGCCTGCCCCTCAGCATCTTGGAATTGACAGTAAGGTTTAGTGACAGCATGAGCCTAATTTGCAGTAGATCCAAAAGCATCCATTAGGTACCAATACGCCACTACAGAACGAATTGGGCAGCCATTTAATTTTTCAAGTTTGCTCATGGTGTCCAATGACTGGTTTGCTGCTGTCACAAAAATTGATTATATTTTAATATCAGCCTGGCAGTATGTGATTTAAAACTCCACACAAATCTCAAGAAGAGCATCTGAAGTATTGGAGTCTCGTGATTGTGTTCAGTCATAATCACTTAGATGTTTTGCACATTGAACTTGGTAAGTATTCTCTTGCAGCACATAATAAAAGTAGATGAACAGTGATTAAGCCACTTGACCATAATACCTGGCCAGAGCTCTAAAGATTGATTAGTAGTCTTAAATCGCATACCAAAAAAATCAATTTTTCCATAAGTACTAAAAACATTTTCTCATATATAGTTATTGTGGAATGGTGAATGAATATCTTTCTAATGAGATACATCTGATCAGTATAACATCCCCTGTGATACAAGGGGGGGGGGTCACATTGTTGAATCACCCATAGCATTCTATTTATAGACTGGTAAAACAATCCCAGTGATAGGTAGTAAAAAATTCTCACACTGCATTTAGTTCTTAATGACATGCCTTGGGTATTTTTCTATATAGCATCATAAATGCTCAGTATGGTAACCATTTAATTAATTCACCGCTGTGATAAACAAACATTCAGCTTTAAAAAGTTAAAATAGATGCATTTTATCACTGAAAGTATAGTGCATACAAACAGCTAGAATGATTCAAGGGGTTACTTGGAAGACAGACATTTTCATCTCTCTGACAAACTGGGTTTTAATCTTGGCAGTTTAGACAAACAGCGAAAGCAAATTTAGTAGTTTCATCCTAGTTCCCCACTGCACCTACTAAACAAGTTGTCCCATGACAACAGAACTGATGAAAGGTCACTAAGCCTTACATAGTCAATTTTTCTCATGTATGAAATGTATTTCATCTGTACAGAACAGGGATGTAAGGGACTTAATTACCTGATAAGTCTAGGCTTATCAGGAAGTTGAGTCAACTACTCGTATTATCTCCTCCTGCTGCCTCTGTATCAGAGGGAGCAAGGGGGGAGAGAGGGGAACGCAGGAGCTGTCTTGAAAGGGACTCCCCCAGACAGGGGCTGCTACTGGCTGGGCAGGCAGCCTGCCTCAGTCCAGACTCGCGCTAGGCCTGGGACCAAACCCTACTGCCTTTTAAACTGCAGAGGTTGCCAGATGGTTTAACCAAAAATAGGGTTGCCAGATGGTTTAACCAAAAATACCAAACTCCACCCCTACAGAAAAAAAAAACAGACAAGGGAAAAAATTCTGTTGAGAATAAAAAGGGGGGAGACCAAAGTTGTGAAGGGGGAGAGGGAGAAAAAAGGACTCCCTGAGAGTTATTAAGCAAAAAAAATAAATAAAACAAAATAAAAAAACCAGCATGGCCCCTTTAAGAAATGCCTTTGAGGCTTTTTGGGTTTTAACAGGCTGCTGGCGGTCATCTTGTTTTCCTTTTCCAGGCCAGACAGCTCCCCTGTGAAACCAGGTAAGTGGGGGTGGGGCGCAGCTGGGCCCGGTTGCTGAGTGTGTGTAGGGTTGCCAGGTGTCTGGTATTGACCTGGACAGTCTGGTAATTTAACCTCCTGGCATGGGGGGGGAGGAAACTGAAAATACCGGACATTTTAGGTGTCCAGTGTTTTCTGAATTTTTTTAACCAGACAGAAGGCAAAAATACCGGACTGTCTGGGTAATACCAGACACCTGGCAACCCTACAGCCTCAGCAGGAGCTGGGCAGCCTCCTCCAGCTCCTTCTGCATTTTAAATTGCAAAGCTGCAGTGAAGTTTGATCCCGGACCCAGCACAAACCGGGACTGAGCTAGCTGCCTATCAACAAATCGAATAGTCAATACAAATTCTTTTGAATACTTGATTAGTTAAATACCCACTTCTTAACATCCCTAACACAGAAGGGCATTTTGCTGAGCATTCAATGGCAAAACTGCTTTTAGATAAGTCTCACACATGGTTCGGAATTTTTACTTATGATTTCCTTGCATTTTGCCACCATAGGAACATGAACGGATGATAAAAGCATCAATTAATGAAGGTCCTGTGTAGGAAACGTCCAATACAAATGCCTATTAATAAAAAATAAAATTAGTTTGGGACTTAGCACAGAAAGCGTTTGGCTACTTCATGTAGCATGACCCACTATGCTTTTTTTTTTAAGCTTACAAATGTTGTCTACTACACGCTGATGAGTACAGAGCTAGCATAGCACTTATGCTGATGACTGTTTGGCACAAAACATAATAAGAATGCGGACAGCCCATTGGGGATAAATGACTGCTTCGGGTGACTACTAAAAGGTTAATTAATGAATGATAGTGGGACCTAAAAAAAAGGCTGAAGTTAATTGGGGGTAAGCACCCCCAAAGAAATGGGAAGCTTCTGAGGAAAGAAGCTACCAGGAGAGCTCACCAGAGCAAGGAGTCTAGAAGGTGTACTCCTAGAAACAAGAGAGGCTCAAAATGAGTACTACGGTTCAGCTTCCAAGGAGGCCTGGTCTCAGCAAAGCAATCTTCCCAGTTGTAGGAAGCTCAGCCTGTCAGGGACAATGTGTTGCCTTGGAGAAGAGCTGCAACTGTCTGGTCTCCATGGAATCAGACTCACAGGAGGACCTTACTTGGGAAGAGGCAAAAGATATGACTCCAGGGGAAGGGTCCAGAGTCAAAAGAGCCCTGCTGGTAAAGGACCTGGGAAGAGATGATCAGTGGTTTCAGGAAGGACAGAAAACAAAACTGATTCATTCTCCCAGCAAAGATCCTGGGTGAAGGTTTTGCTTTATTTTCATTTGGCTCTTCTCTGTTAATAAAGACAATCCTCCAAACAGAGACCTTTAGTACCCGAAGGTCAGCCTGAACAGTTTTATCTCCCACGTACAAGAAAATCAAAGGGAGGCTAGCCCTCAGCACTATATCAGATGGCAAGCAGAACAGTCTGCACTACACTGGAGACATTCAATACTGGCAGTCTATTCAGATTTTTATGCTAGTCCAGCCCACTGTGGTATCCGAGCACCCCGTCAGTTAGCTTTTATGAAAAAATATTGAGCAATATGCTTAATGAATAAAAGAGGAATATTCACTCCTTTCATGCTTCCATAGAACATGAATTATTATTACATAATGTGTCTCAAGAGGAGAAACAGCTCTATTAAGCCAATCCCATTTCAGTATTAACCTGG